AAGTCCGATCCCTCGACGTAAAAAGCCTAGCCTTAATTATTAGACCTCAATCCCTTGAATCCCTAATAACCAATTCCGCATTAAGAAAAGAAGCTTAAGACAACGAAACATCATATCCCTATCCCTAGGCAATATTCCCTTTGGGTGGAATCCTCCAGATCATGATTCATAAGATATTTCCCAATACTCAAACATCAAGTCATGAGTGGCCAAAACATAACAAGCATTACAAATAGGAGAAAATCACTAACATTCAATGAAAGAAGCATAAAATATTTAAAACATGTTCAAATAAAAGAAAGTTTAGAGGTTACATCATCCCCAACAACAAATGAATTTAGTTATAAATTGTCATGGAGAACCTTGGTGTACAATGGAAGAATGAATGAATGGAAACCCTAGAGAGAGAAAAGGAAAGCTCTTGCATGCCCAATCTTCCTCCAAAGGGTCGAAAATAGCTTTTATGTGCTTCAGTAGTCCAAAGATACCAACTCTAATGTGTAAAAGCTTTTAAATAGACCAAACTTGGATCATGGGCCAACGTCGCTGGCGCTCAGCGGCGTAAGTCGGGCAACCAGGCGAGTTGCGTGACATGTAGTTGGCGCGCCCTGGATAGGGGCAATCAGGCGACACTGTGAGAAGAGTGGCGCTCAACGCCCTTGCGAGGCCTCCAACGCTAAGGGCCCCTAAAGAGGGCAACCAAGCATGGTTGCGTAACAACCAGCGCCCAAGGCCCCAGAAAAGGGCAATCAGGCGCCCTACGCCTTCTTCAGCCTTCTTCCCTAGTGCTTTTGCTGTCCCTCCTGGGTTTCAACTCCATGATACTTTTGTTCCTCTTCCAATCATACCAATAAACCTAAAAAATTGAGGGAATTAGTGATAAAATCATTAAGTATAACCTCAACTAACTTATTCACAAAATTAAACTAAAAATAAGAGTTTAAGCAAGCTTCAAAGTCAAAGAGAGTTGATTTAATATCAAAATTGCATTACAGATAACGGTAAATTCAACTGTTATCAACAACACCACCAAATCTCCTTCGTTGGACGAACCTTTGTGTCTGAAGAACACTTACATGAAGACGCGAACCCCAAATCATGAGTTCAAAGCCTCCATGAATCATTCAGACAAAACCTGTAGAAAAAAACCAAACCAAATCACAAAATGAATCCATCAAGCCTCCTTTACGTCATCCATCGTGCACAATGTTGCACCTACAAACAATAATAACATCAATGTGGCGCCACCCAAACCACTTGTTAAGACAAGATCGTCTAGAAACTAGGTTGTCTAGCAACTCAAGTTGTGAAGTTTAACAAACAATATTAAACGAAATATCACGTTGAAAGAAATCTTGTGTTAAAAGACACACGTTTAAGGGAAATATATTTTAGAACATCTTTTCTATATGAAAACAAGCTTGTAATAACATTTTCTAGATTATATTGTCAGAAAGACAATTTTTTATAAACAACTTCTAAACATCTATCAATTTGAATCGTTGAATGATTTATTGAAAAACACTTTCAAACTTACATCGTTTAAACTGGCAAAGTTTTACAAACAACGTCTTGTGAAAAGCGTTTCTATGAAGCTTAAAATATGTTTTACTCAAACAGTGTCATTTAAAGCAAGCGTCTTACAAAATGTATCATCTAGGGAAAGCTCGCTAAATGCAATATATATCACAACCAAATTTTTGAACATAAATAATGTAATGTTTTACACGGTCTGATAATTATATGTTGAATGTTTTACTAAACGATGCATTTATTATTGAGTTCACATATGATAAAATGTTTTGAACACACAATACAACTTAACATTTATCAATGTTCAAAATATTTAATGCATATATGATAAAGTGCTTCAATGCTTGTATACCTTGTTCTTGATATTTGTACAAATCATAAAAGTACAAAGACTTTATTAGAATCACTTCATTCAAGATAAAAGACATTGAGAGATATGAAGAACATTTTGGGAATGTTTCCCTTGAAGTATTATGCTCTGACACATCATCCAAGTTATGTTTTGATAAAAGCTATGACAAAACATTGTACCTCAACAAAGTAGACATGAGTCTGACTTCTCACCTAAAAGGCTACTAACTCTGACTTCTCATACAAGCATATTGTTGCTCTATACCGTCTAAAGCAAATTTACTAAGAGAAAGAACCTTTGCAAAATCTCATATTTTATTGTAGTATTTTTATCCTCTCTTTGAGAGTTACCAATTTGTATTTGCTTTGTATTTGCTCTTAGCACTTGTTGTGTTTTACATTCTGAAGAGAATTAAAACACTTGGTGTTTTTCTCAATTGAGTTAAATAGTCTAAACAGTTGTCTAGGGTTAAACCAGACGTGGTTAGAGTACTTGTATACTAGGAGTGGTTAAACTCGAACTAGTCGTGTTGACTAGGTGAACCAGAAGTGGAGCTAATACTTGTTGTAAACCTGAAAAGGTAACTTGTGCAATCTTCTTAAAGATTAGCGGAACTCCTTAAGAGTTTTTAAGGGAGAACTAGACGTAGCTCAGGTTGAGTGAACCAATATAAAATCTGTGTTGTTTTGCTTTGCTCTTTAAAACATTTTTCATATACACTATTTATAAAAATCAGTGTTTGAACATCTTATTTAAATCATCGATCTTTTGTGAATCCTTTAGTGTTTTCTTGTTGTGTTATACATTCTATAGAGAATTAAAACATTATTCACCCCACTATAGTGTTTTCCTATCATTTCACCATTAGATCAACTTTGTTCGCACCATCAGAATCTGCACTACAACAATTCAACAACAACCACGGAGGAGATGGAAACCGCGAGACATCACGAGTGCCTCCATCACCAACACAAATCTCCTTTGCAATGATAGAAACCTTAATATTGGGAGAAAGAGGGAACTGTCACATAACAATCCCTTATTGGACGATCAAAGGGTCACTTATTAAACTTGGTCAAAATAAGGGGCTAAAGTGCAAATATTAATATCTTTTGGGTTTCTTTGTAATTTTAGACAAAATAAGAAGAGCTTAATTGAAATTTTGGGCATAATTATGTTGTTGATAATTTATTAGATATTTGACAAAATAAATAATTTAATTATATATGAAAATGTCAACCAAGAATATCTTTGAAATATTTTTATAATTGATTAAATCTGTTAAATATTTGAGAGATATTACAATATGAGATAAGTGATTTCTTTTCCTCCTTGAGTTCAAAGAACTAGATATCCATGATATAAATATAAAACTTCTTGAATATGTATAAAAATCCATAATCTTATTTATATATTTATGCATATATATTTTTGTATGTATCAACTTCTATTTAAGTTTGTAATGTATAAAATTAAGAGAAAGATAAATTACAAATTATAGTAATACAAACAAGAATGAGCTAACAGAATAAACATCATAACAACCAAATAACACAATTTATCAAGTAAACTCTATGTTCCTACCACTCCAAACATAATCAAATAAAACTATATACAAACAATTCTTTCCAATCCATACTTCAACTCTGAGAATCCATGCCAACACGATCAATCATTAATAACTTATGTCATCTTTCGTAGTCCAGCACACTTTCCTGTTCACCAAAACAAAGCTTGTTGGACTTTCCTGTTCACCAAAATAGGACTTTTATATTCACCAAAACAAGGTCGGTTCACCAAAACGAGACTTTCTTGTTCACCAAAACAAGACCGGCTCATCAAAGCAAGACTTTTTTGTTCACCAAAACAGGGTCTGCTCACTAAAGCATTACTTTCATGTTCACCAAAACAGGGTTTGCTCACTAAAGCAAGATTTTCCTGTTCGCCAAAACAGGACCTGCTCACCAAAGCAGGACTTTCTTGTTCACCAGAACAGGGCTTACTCACCAAAGTAGAATTTTCTGACGCCATTCAACAATAAGTATGCAAGAAGACACAAGATCCATAATCATATTGCAATCAATGCAACATCATGGGATACCACATAATCATCATGGACATAAATCATAACACCTAATAAACCACAAGTTTGAGTTGCACCACAACCAACCACACAACTCAACATTCACTCTAAATAACTCAACACTTATTCAAACAACTTTGCACTCACTCGCATAACCCATAAAACCACAAGACATAGCTCGACAATCACTTACGAAACCTAGAAAACCCTAAAACACAACTCGACCATACTAGAAACATACACAAATTCACCCAAATCAACCCAGCAATGCATGGAAAATATTATAACAATCAAATTAACCACACTTAATAGCTCGACTGATGCAAAGAACCTTATGTTAATTCATAGAACAACTCAGCCTAACATCACACAACATGACATCCTATTTAAGCAACCTGGCAACCCAACAACACTAAAAATGTTATAATAACTCTTAACCCGACACAACAAGATATCACACATATACACCTCGACTTAACCTAAAACTTCTTGTAACAATTCAACAACATGCTCAACATAGTCCATTAACAACATGATCTCAAGTATACAGCATGGCATGACACATGTCCATCAACCCCAGAACAAATTATTTTCATTGTTTTAATTAACTCATTTTTATATTTACTTTCTTTTCTTGTTCGATATAGTTGTATTTAAAACTAGTTGTTGCAAATTGATTGATTGATTTTTCAAATTTAAGTATTTCTTAAAATTTGCTGTTGTTTTTACCATTAAAATATATTATGTTTTCTTTTAATTTTAAACAAAATTATACTAATGATGTTATTACAAATACGTTATTATCTTTGGATTCCAAATAAATTTATTTTATTTAAATCTTAATAAACATTGCTATTTAAAAATATTATCAATGTACTTCAACCTGAAGAATATTAAATTTACCATTTTATATATTTCACAATGATTTAATTCACAAAAATGTATGATAAAATAATTTTAATTATGTAGTTCAAAGTTTTATACAAAAAATATAAAGCGACTGAAACGCTAATTTCATTGTAAAAACAAATGTCACGTTCAATTCTTGGATGATTTAAGCATTTGATTACAAATGGAGTGTGCCTTTAATAATCTGCGTGTAATAATTTTGAACATCTCAAAAAGTTATTAAAATTTAGTGCTCTATTCTTGAGTTTCGTTGTTCGCATCACCCTCGCAGCGTTCAATTCATCGTGTAGTTGAAGCTTCTTGCTCTCAACCCACTTCACAACAAGGTAATTTGTAGCCCACTTTGTCTGTTATATTTTTGTGTGAATCAAACAACTGGGTCGCTTGTAAATTGTGATTTGATTTGTTTTTGGGGCTTTTAGAATGATTAGTTAATTGAAGGAAGAAGAGTAACCAAACCTTAATTATTGATGGAAAAAGTGTAATTGACCGATCCTTAAATATTAATCATTCATGTTTTGTGCCATTCAAATTTTGCTCATAAACTATTTGATAAAAGTTCTTTGGAGTAAAAGGGAAGTGTTGAAGCAAAGAAATAACTAGCAAATACTCAAGCATATCACATATTATATAGTGGCACCAGTTTAGGATTATTGAGTTCCGATGGGTTAGGAAAATGCTATGGGGTTTCATAGTGAAAATGGTCTCGACCTTGTCTGATTTTTTTCTGCTAGGTGGAAGAAGTTTTGCTGCTGCTGCATCAGTTTATTGTTTGTTTTTGTTTGGTCTGTGGCAGTTTTGATGGTAATCATAATCTTTTTTGTAAATTGTTCATTTACAACAACTGAGTCATTTCCTATTATGTAGGGCTGGTTGGATGAATTAAATTAAACCGATGTCATAATGTTTTATCTTAAATCATGTCTATAGATATTAACCTTTGCGTTTATTGTTTTTCTTGGTGTCTGTTTGCCTTTATCAAACAGACTACCCTCAGCTTCTTTGTTGGGCTTTTAACCTCCATCCCTAAATCGTATATTTAGATTAATTATAAAGGAGGTGCCAATGTAATAATCTGTTGACTCATCTTAGCACAGTCAATAACAAACAATGAATATCCTGAGAGTGTGCTCTTGATCATATGGTTACTTCAGTCTTCTTTTCAATTGAAGGTGGTATTACTGTCTTCTTTCTCTTTTTCCTTTCAGGACCTTGAATACTGATTGAGGACATCGAAAGTGAAGTGATTGAAATGGCAAGCTACCTGTGGAGAAAATATGCAGATTATTTGTACACAAAGTGGGAAAAAACCTTTCTTTGGGACATGGTGGAGCCTTACAGAAGGCCCAAATCATTTACTCCATTGGTCACTATTTATATCGCGGCTTTCTACTCTGGAGTCATTGGTGCTGCCATTACTGAACAACTCTACAAGGTTATTATTATTATTATTTAATTTTTAATTTTGATTCTGTTATTTTTAGTATGTTTGGTATTTTTGTTTTAATTTCTTTCTCTTATCTGTGCTACCACTTATTGGATATCTGTAGTTTTAGGCATAACTGAGACTCTGAGTGGGTTTTATTGTTTGTATGTTCTGATGGAATTGGAAAAAGAAAAATAGTGAAATTTTGTTGTGTATGCCAACTAGTAGTTTTTGTTTGGGTACACTTTTGGACTTAGATTCCTATGAACATGATTTTTTCAAAGGGGCTGCTTAAACGATTTTGATTCTTAGAGAAATGACACTTATGGGTTTTGTTTGTTGGATGAAGGGATGATTAATCATTACTGTTAGAAAGTATGCCTCAGTATCTAACCAGGATCACTGAAGGCTTAGCTCGTGCCTTGAGGCTTTCAATTGAATCCGTGTAGGCTGTAACTATTTTCAAACTAATGTGTAAATGTCCTGTTACTTGGGACCTGATTTTTGTTTGCTTTATCTACCCTAATTTGGAAATTTAAGTTCTATTGGGATTGGAATTACATTTTGTTATTTAGTTTTTGTCTATTTGAAGGAGCTCAGTGATTGATCAGGGATTTGGGTAGCTTCAACATGGATAGCTTATGCATGAGTTTAATTCAGTTTTAATCTTTTCAAGTGTTTTATGTTATATTACTTATATGACATGTGCATTTGCATTAAATTTTTCACCTGTTTTGTTAACCTCCAGGTTCTAAATGTGCAGTGACTGGTATATTTTAGCAATTATTTTATAATTGATTGTACTTATCAATATAATTCATTTTCTGCCATTTAAATTTTGTCCCTTCTGTCGCTGTTTCTTGGATGCAGCCTTATGATAAAATCTATCTACTGAATGCTTGCACTTCGGTTTTCGAAAGTAATTTTATCGATCTTTCTTTATAATTTCTGCCAATAAATTGTTTATTATACAGGGATTTTCTGGTTTCCTGTAGCATGGTTATGAAGAAAAGGCTTCTTGTATTTGACTTAGTTTTTTTATGGGGTTGCTAATCTAAAAAAGATTGAGAACTTCTCCTTCCAAATTAGCTCAATTCCAATATATTACCAGAACAAACAAGATTCAGCTTGGGCCCTAGATGGCTCCAACACTGTTCAGCTTTAGGGCCCAAGATGAGAACGGAAATTAATTGCAATCCGAAGAGAGGTCAGATAGGGAAGTTACTAAAATTAGAAGAAGATGTAGATTTTATATGAAGTAATTATGTGGAGGTAGAGGTCACATTTTTAAAAGTAAAACTTGGCGGGATGCAAGCATTGTAAATAATAAATCGCTGTTGACCATGTCATTGCAGTCCTCTGCTGTATTATTTGTTGTGAATAACCAACATAGCCAATGTAAACAACAAGAATCGCATTTGTTATTTGGTTCAATCTTTAGGGTCTAATACTTTGCTTGAATTGATAGTAATTGTAACATCCCATTTTAATAGTATAAAACTACTAAAATGAAAGGTTACATAGATGCTACAAGAACAACTAGGTAAAACAAACCTCCTTCAAAGAAGAGATCTACTTCTGTAGATCTATCTAACAACTCATCTGCTTCTCCCTCACCTCTAACTTGAATAACTGAAAAGGTGAATCCCTAAGCTCACACCATTAGGTGATCATCGCAAAAGAGAAACAACATACAAAGACAGACAACAGAAAAGCAAGGGTAAGCTAGTTTACAATTGAGGAACGATATCTATAAATAAACTCATTTAAAACATGTTACATACAACAAACATATTGATAGACTTCTTTAATCAAGAAGTCGATCCACCCTCAATAATACTCAAGAACAATCAGAAACAATGAATAACTCTCGTGTTATTGAATCAATCAAAGAATTCAATGTACAATAGGTTCTTTGAAGGAAGCCTGAACCTTCCTCCACTGGACAAAGTTCCAGTACAATTCAAAGAATATAGAATCGATCACCTTCTCCTCTCAACTAACTTCCATTTATACTCTCCCTTTTTCCCTCCTAATTCACAACTAACTGATATCCTACTGTTTCCCGCCTTCCTTACTCTATCTCCTTCCCTCCTTTCTTATTCTTTCTTTTGTACACCTTTAATTCTCTAACACATATCACTACATAGCCATCAAACACTTTATGCAGAACACTTATTATGAATGGACTGTCTGGACTTAGAATGATTGTCGAACTATGGCGGGTTGTGCACTTGTGGTGGCTTCTATTGCTTTGCAAAGCCATTGCCAATGAGTTTTACCCTACCACACTCACAAGGTTAGTTTGTTCCAGGCCGTGGAGCATACTGGAAGCTCCCAAGACTAAGACCTCCTGCTACTCTTCACGACATGGTTCAATCCTATCTACTTGAGAATGAAAGACCATTGGAGTTTTAGGATAACCCCCAAGACTGAGTTCTTGCATTCATTCTAAACATACTTGAACCTCACCAGGAGGTTCCACTTTGGAACTTACTTTCACAACTTTGACCACCTTTGAAACCATGTACATATGTCACTTTACTTTCACATTGAGTACCAACTTATTTCATCTTTAATCATACATCAAATACATACATAACTTAAAGAATAAACCTTCATAGCATAAACAGTGGGTTCTGCCCACTCACCTCTCGCTCAGCGGGGAGTTCGCTCAGCTAGAAGTGTTCTACTCGCTCAACGGACACCAGCTCGCTGTGCGAAAACAGAAACAGTGGGTTCTGCTTACTCACCTCTCGCTCAGCCGGGAGTTCACTCAGCGAGACTGCATAATTCTGCAGCACTAAAACTGTAGAATTTGCACTACTCAACCACTCATGACCTATCCTATGCATATTTTTCAACTTCTAACACCCCTAGATTGTATTCTAGACTCAAATATACCTCAATAAATGTTTCTAAACCAACCTAAACACATTCTAAACTCATTGAGCACAAGATTTCAAACTAAAATTTATCAAAACCCCACTTTAGAGACCCAAATTGAATTCCACCAATTATGGCCTATTTTCAAGCAACTTAGGGACTCCAACAAGTCCCAAATGACTTACTAACACCCTCCAAAAAGACCATTTAAGCATAGAACCCATAATTCAAATTCTCACTAGTCCGAACCCCCAAAAACTAAATCTAAATCAAACTAAACTCTACCTATCAACCACCAAACACTCTTACACTAGATTTACTCCATTTCAATGCTTAAACAAGTCATAAAACATCTCATAACAGACCTCAAATGCCTCAAACCGGTTTACCATCCTTCTCTCACCATTTCAATACCTAAAACCTCCTTTTTCCTTCAAAACACTTCCAAACTTCCACAATGAACCAAAATCTTTGCTCCATATCAATTTTCAACCATCTAACTCTTCTAACAAGTCCTAATTAACCACAAAACAGTGCTAGACCAGTTCTCATCTCACTCCAATACCAAATTCTCAACCTCACTCACCAAAACCCCTCTTTTAAGCTTGAAACTCAAGCAATTCACTCTCCATTACTCCAACCACTTTAAGGTCACCATTTAAACCACAATACAACCTCCAAACACATAATTATAACAGTAAAACAATCTAAACATATCACACCAAGCATTCAAACATCAAACCACCTTGCATCATCATTTAAAAATCAAACATCATTGGAACAACCAATACAAATACATGCAATTCATTTTATACTACATAGATATACTAAATTCAGTTCAACACAATAATAATAAAACAAGTTCTAACTTCCCTTACCTCTCAAAGAAACGGCCCCAACTCAAAGAACGCTCCGCTGATTACTTGAACTGCAAGAAATACCTAGACGAGCCTACGAAACACCAAATTGAAAATGGACAGAGTCCTTAGAACTCTAGATGAATCAAGAACGTGTATGAGATGCATGATTACACATGCAACAATACAAGATTCCTCTAAAACATATTTAGGAACGGAAGGGGAAAAATGAGTCAAATCTTACTTACTCTATTGAAGAAACTGATCAGTTAGATTTGTAGACTTTGTTGTCGTGGTCGATTAGGTACTTCTTGATTGTCAAAGAGATGACTCAGGAGTTAGAATTCTTAGAGAGAAGGTAGAGAACTCTAGAAAAGTGGTTTCTAGAGAGATGATACGTTTTAAAATAATAAAACTCGTTTATAACAAAACTATTTATAATAAAACGGTTTAATATTAAAATAATCGAGTCTCACTATTTTTAGACTACCACCACTTCTAAAAATACCATTTTCTGGGTTTACAATAATAGGTATTTGATTATTTTTATTAAACAAATTCAAATTACATCTATTCTGTGGGAATCTACTTGCTGCCTCTGCTGGTTTGCATAAATTGTGATCACTTTTCCTACATTAATTTCTGTATAATATAATCTGAAATATTTTTCTGGAAAACACTTAATATAGAAGGCCAAGTTGTAGTAGCACAATAATTTGGTATCTAACCTTTGTTTATTAATTATCCATTTATGTGATGGATCAGACATTTTGGACAGTTGCATTGTATGAATGGTATTCACCCCAAGCTTGCTTTGTATGCCCTTGTGCCAAAGAGAGACGTTTCAAATAAAAAAAATAAAAAATAAAGTGTCACAACCATGAAACCGCTAACTAAAATAAATATTCTTGAAATTCCAACCCCTACGCAATCAATCACCTTCCTTCATGAGGCTTTCGTTTGCAACATAGCTGTCAATTAATAAGATGATGTCTCGTTGAATAACTTCATAATGATTGCCCATTTGCCTAATAATAGTGATTGCTCATTTTGGTTGAAAAACGCTTAATTGGAATATATACTAGGGTAATCTGTGTTTCAAAAACTAACTTCTATTGCAACATCACAGGAAAAGTACTGGGAAGAGCACCCTGGGAAAGCAGTTCCTATCATGTTTCCAAAGTTTTATGGGGGTCCCTGGAGGATCATGGGCGGTGATGTTCCTAAATCTGAATGAAAAGCTGTGAAGGCATCTTCATACTTGATTAATATTCACTTACAGCAGACATTTTTTTTGGGGGGGCAAAACAATCCTTTATTATATCGGAGACTTTCTTTAACTATGTTCTCCATGTTGCTTGCTTTTCTTCTAGCTTTTGCAATTCTTCATTGGTTATTAAGATAGGTTTTCTTTTCAGGTTAATTAGGAACTGTGTGGACTCTTCAAATGGGTCAACCTGAGTAGTATGTATGAAGTCTTCTATTCGAACCTCGATATCATTATACATAAAAAAGTACTATTTATTGGTTTATGGGATTATTGGTTATCAACAGCAATCCTCTGAATGTTCATGAGCAGAATATTGATTTGAATTGTTGCCAGTCAAATTATTCTGTTTCACTTTCATATTTGTCAATGTTTCTTGCAAACCCAATTATTTAAATTAGTCTAACGTTGGCGTTATATGGAGTCTGTTAAGAAAATGCTTTAGGAGTTTTTATTTTTTAATTTAATTGAGTCAAAGTTTGTTCTTTACTTTTAGGATTTAGTTATTTTTAATTATGGGCTGAAGTGGTGGATTAAAATTAGGATAAGAGTGTTAGTAGGTAGTTACTTTTTTATGTTTAAATAGTGTAATGTTTCCATCATTTCATAATCAATAATATTGAAGTATTTTGTCTTAAGCACGCTACTGTGTGCTTTTTTAAAAATAACAATTGGTATCAGGAGCCATGTTCTTGAGGGACCTGTGAGAAAAATCTAAAAGCATGGAAGGAGATTCAAGTTTTTCAGCAATGGCACCACCAGTCTTCAATGGTGAAAATTATCAAATTTGGGCGGTACGAATGGAAGCCTACCTAGAAGCTCTGGATCTATGGGAAGCAATTGAAGAGGATTATGAAATTAATACGCTACCTAGCAATCCAACGATGGCTCAAATCAAGAATCACAAAGACGAAAAAACTAAAAAAGCTAAGGCAAAGGCATGCCTCTTTGCTGCAGTTTCACCAACAATTTTCACTCGAATCATGACTCTAAAATCAGCCAAAGCCATATGGGATTACCTAAAAAGAGAATACGATGGAGATGAACGAATCAAAGGCATGCAAGTGTTGAATCTCATTAGAGAATTAGAATTGCAAAAGATGAAGGAATCTGAAAATATCAAAGAGTACTCTAAGAGGCTTCTAAACATAGCAAAAAGAGTAAGATTGCTTGGTTCTGAATTTAAGGACTCTCGTATTGTTGAAAAAATTTTGGTTACCGTACCTGAAAGATTTGAAGCTACCATAACCACCTTAGAAAACACTAAGGATCTATCCAAGATCACCTTGGCAGAGTTGTTGAATTCCTTGCAGGCACAAGAACAATGAAGGGCTATAACAGAAGAAGGCTTTCTTGAGGAAGCCTTGCATGCTAAACATGAAGACAGTTGGAAAAACAGAAAAAGGAACCAACAACCAAATAGAGAAGATGTTGTCAGAAATGAAAGCAAAGCTGGAAGTTCCAAGGGAAAGTATCCTCCTTGCAAGCATTGCAACATGATGGGTCATCCTCCATTCAAGTGCTGGAGAAGGCCTACGCTAAATGCACCAAGTGCAATCAGCTTGGGCATGAAGTTGTCATATGCAAAAACCAAACTCAGCAGGAGGAAGAAGATGCTCAAATTGCAAATGAAGAGGAGGAAGATCAACTTTTTGTTGCAACCTATTTTTCAACTAATGTTTCAAGCAAATCTTGGCTAATTGACAGTGGTTGTACTAACCACATGACCTTTGACAAGGAACTCTTTAGAGATATGAGGCCAACTGATGTCACCAAAGTCAGAATAGGCAATGGTGACTATATCTCAGTCAAAGGAAAGGGGACAATTGCAATTACAAGCTGCGCAGGCACAAAATTTATTCCAGATGTTCTTTTTGTTCCTGAAATTGACCAGAATTTGTTAAGTGTTGGTCAACTGATTGAAAGAGGATTTAGAGTTGTTTTTGAAGACAAAAATTGCTTGATTAAAGATGCAGCTGGTCAAGATATGTTCAAGGTAAAAGTGAAAGGGAAAAGCTTTGCTCTAAATCCATTAGAGGAGCAGCAAGTTGTTTTCTCACTCAAAGAAAATTTGACAGAAATCTGACACAAGAGGCTTGGACATTACCATCATAAAGGGCTGCTGCAGTTGAGTGAAAAAAGGTTGGCAGTTGATGTTCCAGAGCTTGAGGATCGAATTTCTAATTGCAGAGCTTATCAATTTGGCAAGCAAAATTGAAAAGCTTTTCCAAAGGTAACATGGAGAGTATCAAGGAAACTGCAATTAATTCTCACACTGATGTTGCAGGTCCTCAAAGAACACCTTCATTAAAAGGTAATCTATATTATATTATATTTGTTGATGACTTCACCAGGATGTGTTGGATTTTTTTCTTCAAGTACAAATCAGAGGTAGCTCAAATTTTTTGGAAATTCAAAGTCAAGGTTGAGAATGAAACTGGTCTCAAAATTCAGAACTTGAGGTTAGACAATGGCAAGGAGTACACATCTGAAAAGTTTAATCAATTTTGTGAAGATTCTGGCATTGAACATCAACTTACTAATCCTTATACCCCACAACAAAATGGGGTTAGTAAGAGGAGAAATAGATATATCTTGGAGATGACAAGATGCATGCTCTATGATAAGAATCTACCAAAAACATTCTGGGCAGAGGCAGCAGCTACAATTGTTTTTCTTCAAAATAGACTTCCCACAAAGGCGTTGAAGGATCAAACACCATTTGAGGTCTAGTATGGTTACAAACCATCTCTGAAATTTCTTAAGATATTTGGTTGTTTGTGCTTCACTCATGTTACGCAGCGCAAGCGAGATAAGCTTGATAAAAGAGCAGTAGTAGGAATTTTTATAGGCTACAGCACAGTTAGCAAAGCCTATAAAATCTTTCAACCACAAACTGGAAAAATGGTTATTAGTAGGGATGTTCACTTTATGGAAGATGAAGAATGGAATTCAGATGATACAAAGAAGACAGATCTAGCCTCTACAAATGTGAACTTCAAGTTTTCAGCTTCAGACACAGAACAAAATGAAGATGAAAGCTGGCAAAATGAATTGGCAGATGATGCTCCTGTAAGAGGTACTAGATCACTCTCGGATATTTATGAGAGGTGCAACGTTGCTGTTTGTGAACCTGCAGATTTTGGAGCAGCAGAGAAAGATCAAAATTGGATGGCTACAATGAAGGAGGAGCTGTCTATGATTGAGAAGAACAAAACATGGGAACTTGTTGACAAACCTCAACGTAAAAAGGTAATTGGGGTAAAAGGGGTATTTAGAACCAAGTTAAATGTTGATGGTTCAATCAATAAGCATAAAGCAAGGCTTGTAGTTAAGGGGTATGCACAAATTTTTGGTCTTGATTATTCTGACACATTTGCACCAGTTGCCAGACTTGATAAAATCATGTTACTTCTTGTTATTTCTGCACAACTTAGCTGGAAAGTGCATCAAATGGATGTCAAATCAGCATTTCTTAATGGAATCCTTGAAGAAGAAATTAACGTTGAGCAACCTAAAGGTTTCGTTGTGAAAGGCAAAGAAGACAAAGTCTATCATTTACACAATGCTTTGTATGGCCTAAAACAGGCCCCAAGAGCTTGGTATAGTCGAATAGATGATTATTTGCTTGGCCTTGTCTTTGAAAGAAGTCTTTCAGAATCTACGCTCTATGTTAAACACAATAGCAATGAGATGCTTGTTGTTTCTCTTTATGTGGATGAGCTTTTAATTATTGGGAGCAGTGCAAAATTTATTGATGAGTTTAAACTAGATATGATGCAGGCTTTTGAAATGACTGATCTTGGTCTGATGACTTATTTACTTGGGATGGAGATCAATAAAGAAAAAGACCAGGTTTTCATTTGTCAAAAGAAATATGCAAAAGAAAATCTAAAAAAATTCAAAATGGAGGATTGCAAAGAGACAAATACTCCTATGAATCAAAAGGAGAAGTTGTGCAAAGAAGATGGTACCGATAAAGTTGATGAAGGGTATTTTAGAAGTTTGATTGGTTGTTTGATGTATCTTACAGCAACTCGTTCTGACATTTTGAATGTTGTGAATATTGTGTCTAGATTTATTCATTGTGCAAGTGAACTTCATCTCAAGGCTACAAAGAGAGTGATTCGATATGTCAAAGGAACAAGTGGTTTTGGTGTTAAATTTACAAGGAGCAAGGAGTTCAAGTTGGTTGGTTTCTCTGACAGTGATTGGGGAGGTTCTGTTGATGATATGAGGAGCACTTCAGGTCA